GTAGTGGTAGTGGTAGTGGTAGTGGTAGTGGTAGTGGTAGTGGTAGTGGTGGTCGTGGTAGTAGTGGTAGTAGTGGTAGTAGTGGTAGTAGTGGTAGTAGTGGTAGTAGTGGTAGTAGTAGTCGTAGTAGCAGCAGTAGTAGCAGTAGCAGTAGTGGAGCAGCAGGAGCAGAAGCAGTTGCAGAAGTACCTTAGTAGTGGCGGAGTGGCAGTGGTAGTGGCAGAATGTGCATTATTCTGTTGGTTATCAGTACAGTATTGTCATTGTTGCGAAGCTTGTTGTTGTTGTTATTAATAGAAGGGCCGCAACGTAGCAGTTGCTGCAGCAGCTGAAGTCGCTCGTCGCGCCTGCGTAGGTGTAAGTGTCATTGTCCTAGTCGCAAGAGTAGAACACGCCTAAATTCAAAGGGACACGGAATTCTAAGTTACAGCAACCCATGGGCGAGGGCGGGTCCGGTTCGACACAACAGTTCTCAGACTTGTGCAAATATCCACACTCATGCTCTCACACTCATGCTCTCTCGACCTACAGAAAAATGGCTCATGACATTGTGAGGTAAGGTTTACAACATGCACAGTGTCCGGTCCAGGCTTTCCGGGTGATTTGTGCAGCTGCGTGCCCCGAACCCACACTCTCGGAGGTGAGCAGCCGCGGCCCACGAGACGTGAAGCCCCTCCAGAAGTTCGGATGTTGGGATAAGGATTTATGGACTCGACTTTAGGTTCAGCCGAATCAGGGTAGATAGCCCTAGCCTCCTTATTCCATGACTCCTGGAGATTCCGGAACTTCCTGGTCGAAGTCTTTTTTCGAACCTTTCTCAATGCCGGGGGCGGGAGGCGGCTTAGCTTCACCCAGAAGCCTCCAGCAGAAGTTCCTAGAACCCCTCAATCCCTTATCCCGAAGCAGGCTTCACGCTTGCACGGTTTTTGGTCCCTCGAATCGAGGAAGAGCACAGAAGCCCTTAGGGTTTAAGAGTCCTTACGTACATGTAGGGTTTAGGAACCCTGCACCCGAGAGCTTCAGCTTTCGGATCTAAAATCCAAAACCTCGGAAAAGCAAACAGCCCCAAGCCCCAAGGTTTGGGGTTCAAATTTGAGTCTCACCCCCGCCCCCGAGTCTGCGCAGAAGGACCCGGAGCATTTCTTTTCTCAGGGCAAGCCGTGGATTGAAGTGGTCCGTGTTTTGTGTAGAAAGGCGCCTTACCGGGTCGTTAGATGTGCCTTCCGTTCACCCGTCCCCTCCTGACTGCCCACGGCATCTCCCCTCCCCCATCCCTAGACCAGCTCAGGGCCATCCTCTCTCCTGCTGGTGGACTGGTTTGGGGTAAGTCTCTATAGGATTTTTAGGCTTTAAGGTTTAGCTTCGCTTGAGGGTTTGCGCCGCAAACCTTTTCGGCCCTAAAGCGTTCGGGTAAACTCCCCTTGAAGATGCTCTTCCCGGCTTGACCAACGAAAGGCAAGTGTCGGCTCCGTGTCACCCGGGGGTTGTTCAATGTTAGATTTTCGCGACCTGGTACCCATTTCAGGTGAAGTAAGCATAAATTGGCACTTTCTTGCAGAACAGACCCCATGTATGCGTGCACCGGCCAAAGCTTCATGGGGTCTGGTTTTGTTTTAGGACTGTGGCATTACGGGTTTAGGTTTCGGGAGCAGGGGCTCAGGGTCTTGCTGTTTCCGGGTTGTTGAAGTAGGGTTTAGGGCTACGGGTGACGGTTTATGGTGTAGGCTTGTTCAACTAAATGCAGTTAAATGCAGTGAGGCCAATGTCTCGGTTCAATATTTCAAGTTGCCGCTTAATTAGTTCTTGAGGGGCTTGTGCAGTAGTGAATCTTGTCCTTCCGAGGCAACTTGCTTTGTTTGAAAGAATTCGTGTTAGTTTCATTCAATACGCCTATTCTTGCGATTGCCGTCGTCGTCGTCGTCGTCGTCGTCGTGTTGTTGTTGTTGTTGTTGTTGTTGTTGTTGTTGTTGTTGTTGTTGTTGTTGTTGTTGTTGTTGCTGTTGCTGTTGCTGTTGCTGTTGCTTTTGCTGTTGCTGTTGCTGTTGCTNNGTCGTCGTGTTGTTGTTGTTGTTGTTGTTGTTGTTGTTGTTGTTGTTGTTGTTGTTGTTGTTGTTGTTGTTGCTGTTGCTGTTGCTGTTGCTGTTGCTTTTGCTGTTGCTGTTGCTGTTGCTGTTGCTTGTTTTGTTTTGTTTTTGTGTTGTTCGGTTCTGTTTTGATTGCTTGTCGTAGCCATTAACCGTGAAACGGCAACTTACTCGGGGAGTGCCACCTAGCAGCAATGTGGATCCCATGTTGCTGAAGGCCCTAGCTCGCCACCCTCAGAGAGGGTGGGTTTGTCTGAGGACATTCCGGTCACTCTCAGAAGATGACGGCGGCTACACACAACTTCTGCATGCCCCGAGCTTCAAGCATCGAGCTCGAAGCCCCAAAGTTTCAGGCCGAAGCCCTGCATTGCCCTACATCCCAAACCCCAGGTCCCAAGCCACCCTTAAGCCTTTGACTTGAAATCCTCAAAGCGAGTCCCGGGCTTAAAACGCAGTCCCCGAAACCTTTTAATCCTGAAGCGTGAACCGCAAAAAGCTCGGGGCGGGCCGAGCTCTGAAGGTGAAGGCGTAGTTGGAGGTGCCCTCTTCTGCCCAGTATGGCCAGGGTTCAGGCCCTCCCAGCCTTCCAACCCTCTGTAGCCATACATCCGTTTTGCTTCGGGCTTCTGAACGCTGGGCCATGACCTGAAGGCAACCGCCTTCGTGTTTCGGCTGGGACGAGAATAGGAGTAGCAACAGAGATCGTAGCCTTAACAGTGGTGTGTTTAGGGTTTAGGGATTTGAATTGAGAGTCGAATCGTGATTGCAAAAGTAAGAAGCAGCCACTAGAGCACACGTGCTGATATTAGGAACACGAATAACCGAAGAACCCTAACGCTCAACACGGAGTGACAACGTCCACAGGGCTGCTCTACTGTTGTGCAGCCAGCAGTAGCGCAGCTCGACTGCTGCTGCCGCTGCTAATGCTTACTCCGCTCCTCCTCCTCCTCCCCCTCCTCCTCAGCCTCCCCTAATGCTAAATGCTTGGCCCCCCCAATAGAAATTCGAGACATGATTTTAAAGCTGTTCTTTCATCTCTACTGTCACTTTGGGGCGGATCTTACTCCTGCTCCAGCTCCTGCTGCAGCTCTTGCTCTTGCTGCTGCTTTTGCTGTTGCTTCTGCTCTTGCTGCGGCTCTTGCTCCTACTCTTGCTCCTACTCTTGCTTCCAGGGTTCCTCCTTCTTGCTTTTGCTTCTGCTCTCGTTCTTGCTCCCGCTCTTGCTCCTGCTCCTGCTTTCACTCCTGAACCCCCCAGTTCACAACAGCTGGCGGTGGTGTTTCAGGGAATTTCACAGAAACTTATCAGGGGATGGTTCACAAAAAGGGGGAAGTGGTTCCACAATATGACTGCCAGTGCTGTTACTACTGGTTCTTCTGCTGCTGCTACTACTACGACGACTACTACTGCT